TAGTTTCAAATGTGATAAGTTTTAAAGCACCGGTGGCTTATTCCCTAATTTGATGGTACATTATGTAGCTATATACCTTAAAATTATGGAATAAGCGACTTTTATTTTGAAATGTATCACATTTAAGTCTATTTTAAGTAGGGAAGTACAACAAAAAAAATTTGGGTTAGGCCGCTTTCAGTAATTTTAGATATTAGTTTCCGTTTCTCATAATCCCAAATTGGCCTGAATTTTTTGTCTGTGAGTTCATGTAAATAACCTATTGAAGCAGCGTAGCACTTTCATCTTCCAGCAAATAAAGAAATGTGCAACGCATAAACCAGTTGGTCTCCAGCGGTCACTGAAGATCGTACGCTCCTGGTAGTCGAGCTCTTGATAGCGCCAAATATAAGTCAACGAGAGTTTTCTTAGATCCGTACTCTGTGACCTTTTACTTGGCAGAACATTTTTTTTTGAACGAAGTATGATTGATTGTGTTAAACTATGAAGGCAAGCTCCACAGATTTTCTCGATCTAAAACCTTTGTCTGAAATATAATTCAGTTATAAGATTGTATTTTTATGAGAAACTGTTTTTCGTGGCAGGAATACCGCCGAAATATTGCCTGCTGAGGGGCGACCGCTATTAGAAAAAAACTTTTTTTGGTTTTTATTTTTTCCAGGCACTGCATGGTGGTAGCGTGCACTGCTAACCACTACACCACAGCGGCCGCCAGTCGGGTAAAATGCCGTTAATCCATCCTGCTTCTTCGATTATGGTCGAGTACCTAATTTTGCTACAAAATTCTCCAATTCGAAGTCTAATGGGGGCAAGTTCATTATACTTTATAAATCAAACGTTGGCGTTGATCTCAGCCGCGGCCCGTTATGTAGAGAGCAGGCATGCGTTATTTCTTGAACAATTCGTTCGCTACGAGGCGATAGCACAATCTCCTTTGTGTATCCTATATGTTCATGCTTGCTTTAGTATTTTTGCTTCCTATGTTAGTTTTACAAAAATGCAAAAAATAAGACCAAAAAATGGAAGAGCCTGAAAGCAGTTTCGTATTATGCAGAAATTTTCACGTAGGTAAATGATTTCAGAGCATAAATTTACCAATCTTAAAAAAAATATAAAAAACATACTTGCACACATGTACTCTTTCTTTGGAAATTACCCACATAAATACATACATATACACATCATGATACGGTCGAATGTAAATACACAAATGCTTACATAGAAATTTGTTTCAGTTATAAAAACTAACTAATGTTAGATGATTTCTTACAGTAATTAGACGTAATAATTTCGTAGTGCAACTTAAAAACTTGCAAAGTTTTTAGTCTATTAAACACTGTTAATTGTATAAATGTACATATGTTTATTTGTAACTTTGCTGCCACAAAATTAATTGGCCATTTTCTCAGCATTTCCGAAAAATTTTTCCTTCCTGTTGTATATTTTTTTTTTCAACAAAACGCTTTCATAACTAACTAATTAATTATATTATATCTAGTGTCAGTGTGCCTTAATTAGCGCTTAAAAAAGTTTTCTACCAAATTCATTGCACGCCACTTGTTCCCTATTCATAATTATGAATATATGTATATTTAGATGTAGTCATATCTCTGTGCATTTAAATACGCAATTGTATTACAATGACCTATTTACTGCAGCGGTAATGACTACTTTAACTGAGCTCCAAATAAAATAATTATACATACATACGTATGTATGTATCTTTTTATTTCAATTTGTTATGCCATTTCAACACTTTCTAATACAGTTTTTTCGATGCTCGCTTATTTGGTGCATTTATTTAGTGAATACCCGCGGATTTGCCCAAACAAAACACCCACTCAAGCATTATTCATAGTCTCTGCGCGGTCATCATTTCGTTCGTTTTTACAAATACTCTGCCAAAATGTTGTAATTAATAAAAAAAATATGGCCAAAATATCCAAATATTTCAAGTGGCGATTTCACTAACGCACAATCAAAGTTGGTAAATGCGTTGCGCATGCGTTTCAGGCTTTTATTGGTAAACTTTCTTTGGATGGCGTATTTGAAGACAAAAGAATTAGATACATACATACATACATACATACAAAGATGGAAATGATGAATAAGAAGAAGATGAATAGGAAGAAGATGAAGAAGCAGTAGAAAAATTCAATTTCACAATTAGCTATACCTCCTCAATGAAAAATAAAAATAATGCAAATAAACCGCAATTGCGTAACACAATGCAAATTTAAAAATGCGTTACGTACATACATACATATGTGCATACATACCTACATTTAAACGTTAATGCTGTAATGAAGACTCACTTACGTGCACACAAAAATATGTATGTATATGTGCATTTGTATCTACTTGCACATCCGTATGGTATATACTACTTGTTTACAGTGGGCGGAAATTGTAAAAATCTGAAATATATACATATGTATAAATTTTAAGCACTTAAAGACGATTTTAGACTTCAGGGAATCTAAGAACCCCCTTTCCTTGATCTTACAAAGCAGAAAACGCTTTCCTCTTCTTCTGTTACGATAAGTGGTGGTACATACATACATATGTATGTATATTACTAATTTTTTAAATTTTACTCAGTAACCAATTGACTCAATATGAAATTGAAATAGCTACACTGTGCCCACTTCTGGTTGTTTATTAGTCAGATCAGTTAGCTGGGTGTTGCATTGCCGTAGACATTGGACGCCAGACCGTAATCGCTTTTTCATTGCTTTAACTTTGGCTTTTGTTAATGATTATGCAACTGTGTTGGCCATCATCCGGGCCGGGCTGGCCGCTCGTCTGCAATTGCATACATAACGCAATTTACGAAGAAAAGCCACGAGTAACTATGCATAATGCAATGCGCCAAAATGTGACCAATTCCAGCGAAAACTCGTTGGTGATGTGAATAACAAATGATTCCCATTGGCATGGTCGGAATTAGAGATGGGCACGGGCGGCACAATTTGACTTCGGCACGAGCTCGTGCATGCAGTGAATTTTCAATTTGGTTCGTGTCGGGTCGGACGTTAATGATTTATTCTCCGTGTACGTTCGTGTGTTTGTTTTTTTCAGAGAAGGAATCGAAAGCCTAAACCCTGAACCAGTCAGTGTGAGACTTTAACCCACTAAACCTCCTACCGGCTATGTACCGATCTTCCCAGTACCACCGTTAAGTATTTCGTCGGGAAGCGATTTGAACACTAGGCTCTACGTCCGTTACTGTTCACATGATACCACCCACCCACTGTTTCTGTTGATCTGGTGTTAAAATGATCCACCCATTTTGATTGTCCTGCTAGGAAGTTCATATCTAAGTACATATAGTATAGTCCGGATATATCAATTTAATGTCACTTATTCGATTTTTAAAGGCTTACTCTCTTAATGCCGTGACTTCTCAAGAAAACCGGCTTGTTGCGCCTAAACTGTAGCGACTGCTAATTTTGGCTGCGTCGGAGAGAAATGGCAGAAGTCGTTCCATGCTTCCTTGATCGTTATCATAATCGGTACCATATTTTCTGCTGTTATACAGGAGCCAAGCTTACTATTAAGTGCGGATGTCGTGGAATTGAAGGGGGCCATTTGAAAAACGCGTGCTCGGCATCTTTAGTGACTGTCGGTCCACACTACTCGCAACAAGGATTTGCACATGTCCACTGATGACTTGGGTTAAATAGTAGTCTACTGTGCCGTGTTGCCTGCTAAGCCAAGTGCCAATTTTTGGTATGAGGCAGTAAGTTCACCTGCCCGTTGTTGTTCTTTCCCACCGCATCTTCCACTATGCTTCAGTACGTGCTTTAACTGCGATGTGTACTGTGCGTAATTGCTCTCGGTTCGTATTTCTGTATTCCAAATGATCGGGGAAGCAAAGTCGGTGATCAACTAGGACGCCGAGATACTTTCCATATGGCTTGGACTCTATGATGCTTTCACCTACTCTAATTTCTACTTTTCATCATTTTTCGACTACTAATAAGAGTAGCTTCCGTCTTGTGGGCTGGCAGCATTAATGAGTTTACCCTTAGCCAATGCATGATCGTGCGTGTTTTCTAATATGTGTTCTACATTCTGATTTATTTTTAATTGCTGACGGTGTTACGGGAAAGATTTAGGTATGAATTTAAAGTGATATAATTATTTTGTGTAGAGAAAAACATTTTAAAAATATAGAAAGATAATATTTCGGTGTACATAATAATAATAAACCTTTTTATAAAACAAAACTATGTGAGTTATTATTCTATTGAGGTCGATATATTTTTCTATGATCATTGAAAGCGTCCTAACCTGAAAGAATTCATTGATTATTTGTAATTACTAGATTTAGACCAAACAAGCCAAGCGATTAAAAAAATAATCATGTAGGAAAAAAGGGCAAAATAAACGCTCGATGCACGACCGCTTAGAATTCTAATAGAGAGGGGAGATTCATGGAGGATCATTACTTCACGATGTACTAAATCGGATTTCGGTCATATTGCCGGATTTTTTTTCTTGACGTGGTCTAATGGATATGGCAGTAAATTCACTGATTCTCCATGTAGACTATTTTCATAAATATCCCATTTGATTAATGCTCATATCACGTCGATTCTAATCTATTTAGGTGAGAGGTTGGTAGAATTGCACCTGAGGAGTGTTATAAGAGGAAGAAGAGTACGATGTATTTTTGCTCTGAACCTTTGTCAAATTTGGTTTGTAGACAAACCAGTTTCGGCGTTGTATGATTTTTCGTTCTGAAGAGCTTATGCAGCGAAGGTCTTTTGAAAAACCTTCCCCTTAAAAAAAATATGATAATCGTAAAAATTTGTTTAAATTATTTAATAACTTTGATGAGCAAAATTTCTCACAAACAAAAACATATTTGGAATTTACTTCCTATTTAATATAAGTATGTATGTAATGCTATTTTAATGTCGCGTGTAAATTTCACTTAACGTCGACAACAATTTCATCAACATCATTTTGTTACACTTTCTTTGCAGATAAAAGCAAAACCCACAAAAAAATTCAAACAAAACAAACAAAACCCATATACCAAAATGTTGAAATTCGTACTTATTGCAACGTGCCTTGTGTTGGCGTCGAGCGTGAGCGCTCAAGAACTGAAAGTCGATGTCGTCAGTACGCCGGAGGTGTGCGACCAAAAGTCGAAAAGTGGTGATATGCTGACAATGCACTACACGGGCACGCTGACGGACGGCAAGAAATTCGATTCGAGGTAAGTGCACAAACGAGCAAGTCATAAGCAATGAAAGTGAAAGTGCTTGCTGGGCGCTTGAGAAATTAATTTAATTGTTTGTTTTGTTTTATTTTTTTTTAAGCAAATTTTAAACATTTTAATTACAAATGCTATATACGTGCATTATATTTTAAGTATACATACATATATATGTACATATGTATGTATACATAAAGTGCATACATACGCCACTTTTAATGGCGCAATGACTCCCTTCGAAAGCTGCGCCTGCCACCGCGAGCTGCAGTGCAAGCTCAATGTACTCATAAATTAGGCGTCGCTATCAAAGAGATAAGCAAATACGATAAGCTTACTGCCGGGTTTTGTGTTTGTGTTATTTATAACCCCTATACACTTGACGTTGATTTTTATAATACAATTTTGTTGTTGTTTGTTGCCATTGTAATTATGCGCATATGAGAGTAAATATTTTAGGGCTTTTTGTGTTTGCCGGATGACACTATATACAATACTACATATGTACATTAGAGTGGTCCAGAATTGCATGTGAAAAAGTAAAGTCGGAATTTTAATGCCGCCACCCCTTAGGATTGTTCTATACCGAAAAAAAATATACACCTATTTTTTTTATTTTGAAATAAAAAAAATTAGGTAGTGTTCAAAGCGCTCAAAATTGTCCATGTATTTTATATGGGGAAAAACAACTTTTCGTAGAAATTGTGTAGAATTCTTGGGAATTAATATTTTTCAATCGGAAAACTCTGTTTCTCTTCAGGAGATACCCAATAATAATACCCAATTGTTTTTTTACCATTTTTTCAAGGTAACTATATTTTATAGGTCCGCCAAAACCCCCAAAAAATGTAATGGGGGTACCAATAAAAAATCTTTAGTATTAAAAAATGGTTAAATAAGCAACTGGGTATTAATATTGGAAGTCTTCCGAAGAGAACCTCTGTTTTCCACTCGAAAAATATTGATTTTCAAGAATTATACACCATTTCTACGAAAAGTTGCTTTTTCCCCATATAAAATTCATGAAAAACTTTGATCGTTTTGAGCACTCTCTAAATATTTTTGACTTCAAAATAAAATATATGGGTATATTTTTGTCGGTATAGAGAACCATCGTAGCGGGTGCGGCATTAAAATTCCGACTTTACTGTTTTGAACCACTTTAATGTACGTACATGTAGGAATAGGTATGCAATTCGTCCACCGCAAAGTGACTAATTTTTTACTAGGCCACCCAAGTCATTCTATTTGCACGTCTTTTTTTGGTAAAAGCGTTTACACGGCAAAGTTACACATCTAAGTTTGTGCGTACGTTGCGCATTTGGTTTTAAACAAAATATATACATACATACATTCGCATAAATATTATTTGGTTGCCACAAAAGTGCGAAAGTGCAATGTACTGCCACCGAAAGCTGTTGTCGTCGAAACCCAATTAACAAACATTGCCTCTTTCTCCGGCCACTTACTCAGTTACGCGCTGTGACGTACTGATTTATTTGCCCCTCGTTGACTTAACTGTAACGCCGCTATTGTAATTAAATTACATGCTAACAAAAAGACAACAACAAAAGGATGCCACTTTTGGTCTAACAAATGGTTGAGAGTGGAGAAAGGTCAGGAGGCAAATGTGTGTGTGTGCATGTGCATATGTTGAGTGGCAATAACTCGGCTTTACAAAATATGAAGACGTGGCTTTGTATGTTGTTAGTAATACTACTACACAGATGATATACAATTTTTCAACCAACAATGGAAGTTGTCTTTATTTAGGACCCAATAAGGATTTTCTTCCATATAGCCTATATATATACATATACGCATATGCTGATTTCGCATCAACATTGAATATCAGATTTATCCACTTGAACCAATTTATTATCACATACAAATTCTACTCATAACTGCCACTACTAGTTATTAAATACTTACATGTGCTTATACAGATTAGGAATACGTTATTCAATTTTTGTTTTCATTATTTTGGGACATTTTTGGTTTTGGGTCTCATGTGTTATTTAATACGGACTTACACGAAACAACAGTGCAGAGTTCATTAAATGTTGAAAAATACGCTGCTTCGCGATAACACTTGCTTTTAATGAAAGCAGCAGTATATATACATATACATACGTACATAATTATGTATTTGTGTATGAGCTTGTAGGAATAAACAGATTTACGTAAACAGTATTGGCCAATACAATAGCACCCCCATTTCAAAGTGATATTGTTTGCATTCATTTTGATTTTCAACAATTTTCAATTAAAATACAGTTCAATCTCTAAAAAAACCCCATATCAACCCAAGTTTAAAACTTTGTAAGACTACAAAAAAATGCAACAAAATTTAACCCAAATTTCAAACTTATTTCTAATTCAATTTTAATCTGATAATGTGCAGGTTTTAAGTGGCTAAAAATTACCGGTGATTTCGCCGAAGGTGTTGCGGGTTTCTTCCATATACAAAATAAATTGTGTTTATTGTTTATATCGAGGCAAATACGAAAAACAAAATTCTAAAAAAACCAACGGCAATTTTTAGCTACTTCAAATTTGTATATTATCAGACTAAAATTGAATGGACTATATTCTGAGAAAAAATTTTGAAATTTAGGTGAAATTTTTTTCCATTTTTTCGTAGTCCTTTAGAAAGTTTTAAACATTGCTTTATATTAGTTTTGTTAGAGAATAAACTGTTATTTAATTGAAAATACTTAAAAATAAGTGGCAAAAAGCATCACTTTGAAATTCGAGTGCTATAGATATGTCCAATACTGTATAACCACTTATGTATGCATTGATGCCCTGTCTCGAAAGTTATCATCCACACGAATGCATACATAAACAAAAATCAAAGAGAAAAAACTGAGCAGGTTTCTGTAAGAAATCTCTATAGTGACACCGAAAAAAGTGTTTCCGTAAGCATTAATCGACAAAATGTGGAACAGTGGGAGCAATGGCATGCCAATCGACAAGTTACAAATGTATGCGTTTGTGAATTTTTTAGTATGGCCCCTGCAGAAAAAAAATTATCAATTGATAAAAAATAACCAACTTATAGTTAGCTCTTTTGCAGGGTTTCGATAAATACCTAACTTCTAATTAGCTATGAAAAAACTAACTTTAAGTGAGTTGTTAAGTCGTGCAGGAGTCATGCAGACGTTACCGGGAGTTTGTTTTCTTTAAACAAGCATTTTTTTGAATATCCTCATACAAAAATTACTTTGAATACAATTTTTTTCTGCACTTCGCAGATGCAAGTTCGGAATAAATAAAATAAAAATACAAATTTTATATTATCACTTTGATGTTATATCTGATGGAATTCAAATATGGGACCACCTACAAAAGAACACGTTAACAAATAAGCAAATAAGTGATGTTAAATAAATAAAAAAGTAAAAACTTAAAAATAAAAATTATTGATATTTCACGTCCAAAAGTAGTTAACTACACGTTAGCTGATATCTAATGCAGAGGAAACCAGTTCTCGCTTTTTTGCGGTCATCGGCCTTCAAAAGTAGTTAGTAATAAAAGGGTACAACTAGTTGACGGCTGGGTATAAGTTAGCTATAAACTAGCCCCGTTTCTTGCAGAGGCAATCAGCAGCGCTACAACGGAAGCCACGCACGTGGTCGAAACTATGTAGAAGAACGCCTAAATGGAGTTTTAAAAAATGTATTTGTTTGCCTTTCACAAAACCTGGGGCTAATGATTTAATCCCTCATTTGCTGGATCTATAATTAATGCGTGTGCTGTATGCTTTTTGCTGAAGAACTCTACCATGAACACGTTCAGAGATATGTAGCATGAGAAATTCGGTTTGCATGGGAGGTTCCACGCCCCCTTTTCCAATAGCTCAAATGTTTCTCCATACGAAGTTCCGGAATTCTACCATGAACACTTCCAGAGATATGGAGTATGAAAAAATTCGGTATTTTATTGGAAGTGCCACGCCCCCTTTACATATAGAATTTTTTGCGCCGAAACCCATCTTTGAGACACGTGCGGTAGGTGTCTGAAGTTTCAAAAAAATCGCTCGGCCGTTCTTGATCTTTGCGAACAGTAAAAAAAAGGCTTTCAAAATATATATTATAGATATATTATATATCATTACTATATTTTGGCTGTATCCATTGTTTCTGATTGTCGCGAAAAAAACTTGCCTAGTGACGAATTCGCCCCTAGATATGGTGGTTGCTCAAAGCAATTTATTTTATTATATTGCATGAAAATTGGAAAACAGGATCCTATAAGCTTAACTAGGCAAAAAGCTACCTACGTACAAAAGTTAGATCAAATCTGACCATAAATACTATTTTTACGAATTTCGATCCCTGGTCCACTTCCCGGAAGAAAATGATCCTATATGCTAATCTAAGTAAAAAGCTACCTACGAACCAAATTTTAAGCAAATCCATAAATACGTTTTTTTTTAATAGATCGGTCCCTGGTCCACCTACCGGAAAAAGTAAAATTTTTTGGCCTAAAACATGGTGGTTGCTGAAAGCTCTTTATATACAAATTTTCATGAGATTACCTGTTACACAAAAAAGGGACATCTCTTTATATAATTAGTAAAGATTTTACATGCCATATGGAAACAGATTTCTTCAACGTTTTTAAAATGCTAAATTTTTCAATTCACACTAAATTAGTATTGATAGTCAGCTTAAATTAGCAATCCTAAATTTTTATGAATTTTGAAGTTTCGAGAGAATTTTTATAACCCAGTGCCTTTGAGAATTAAAAGAGATTTTTTTTGCAAAACCAAAAACCAAAACGTTATATTTCTCTCAGCGTGGTTTCCTTTTATCTTGACACATTCAGTACAGCATTTTCCTAAATTTTGTGTTCTTTCCAAATAATAGGGGGCTAAATCTGAAATCTGACACTGCTTGATCCCGAAGCATTGTCGCTACAACTTCGCTTGCGCACAGACCCACATTGGCCTGTGTTGGTGCTCGTTCATAAGCTAAGATTCGGTATACTTATCGATG